TCGGGATCACCTCGTCTTTGGCTAGACGCTGGGAAAACGGTGACGACCGCTCGGCATGACGCGAGGCGGGGCGTGGACGGTCGCCGGCCTCCTCCTCTCCTCCTCTCTTCTCCCTTTCTCTTCTCCCCTACTCTCCTTCTCCTCTCCCTCTCCTTCTCCTCCTCTTCTCCCCTCCTCCTCCCTTCTCCCCTGCTCCTCTTCTTCTCCACTTCTCCTTCTCCTCTCTTCTCCCTTCCTCCTCCAAATGCTCTCTGCATGGCCGGTAGGGGCGCACGGGGCCGGCCGGGGGCGCGTGGGGCCAGCCGGGGACGCTACTGTCATGGGGTGGGCCACCGGCCATGGCGTGGCTGGGCGGCGGCGGTGGTCACCACCGGCCACGGGCGAGGGGGGACGACGCGGCCCGACGACGACGGTGTGCTCGACGGGCCGGGCTGCTGCCCGCTGCAGGCGACAGGATTGGGGAAGGCCTCCATGGCAGAGGATGGGGCGGGGCGGGCTACGGGCGTGTGATGTGGCAGGCGAGGGCGGGGAGAGGCTGCGCTGGCTGGGGACCAGCGGCGCGCATGGGATGCGACGGCGAGAGGAAGGGGATGCGGGGCGCGCGGGTGAGAGGAAGGGCTGAGTGGGCCGTTTGGGTTTTCCGGCCTGGTCTTTGTGGACTGGGCCTTTGCCGAGGGCCCAGATCCGAGCTCTCATCAAAGTTTTTTTTTATTTTTTTTAAAAACTCTTTGCCGAGAGCCGTTTGAGGCTCTCGGCAAATACAAAAAAAATTTTTGTCTTTTTTCCCAATTTTTTTTCTGGTGGCTAACAATAATATTTAAAAGACATATTTAAAATTTGGAGCTTTTTTGATTTTATTAGCTATATTTAATAAGTTTATTTCATTTACTTGAATTCTTCCCGGTAATTCAAATTTGAATTGCAGCTGCATCGAATATTGGAATTGAGTGATTCAAAAAATTATATTGATGGTATTGCATGTGGTGTGAGACCGTATCCAGTGACAGATGCCAAATTTGGCGCATCGTTTTCACAGCAACGGTAGGCCGTCGGCAAAACCATATTTGCCGAGGGCCAGGCCCTCGGCAAAGAATTCCTCTCGGCAACCGGGCTCCGTTCCTCTCGTTGCCACCACTCTCCAAATTTGGCCCGGTTGCCGAGAGGAATTCTTTGCCGACGGCCTGGCCCTCAGCAAATTTGGTTTTGCCGACGGCCTACCGTTGCTGAGGGCCGACTCTCGGCAAACCTTTCTTTGCCGAGAGCCCGACATTTGGCTCTCGGCAAAGACGCTGGCTCTTGGCAACGGGCCTGTTTCCGGTAGTGATAGATGCAAATGTACAATTGCACATAGAGTATAAGTTCAGTTCTTTTAAAGTAACTACTATAGTAGCCTTTCATTTGACAGACAATACATATTATATTGAACCTACCTAACCTTAAATGAAATTGTAAAACGTCAAACATGGAGACGAGCTGGAACATACTCAACAGTGTGGCTCATTAAAATCCTAAAATCTCTTAATCAGAACGGTTTGCCTTCTTACATAGGAACTTCATTATCTGCTAAACAAAATAAAAGAAAATGAAAAGTAATCTCTTCGTTCCAGTTCATGAAATATTTCGTCAAATTTCATGTCACCTTCAGTACTAAGTATCAGCCTGTTGTAGTTGTGTTGAACTGATAAATGAAGACATTGTGTTTAACTGATGAAAACATTGCACTGATGAAAACTCCATGGCTACTCTCACTACCGGAAACGTCAATTTGCCGAGTGTTTTTATGTTTACCGAGTGTATTCCCTCGGGCACTCGGTGAACAAGTTCTTTGCCGAGTGCTGTGCTAAAAACACTCGGCAAAGAGGGGGTTTGCCGAGTGTTTTCTTTTTTACACTTTTTTCTGGGAAAGAAGAAGAAAAAAAATGAAAAAAAACTTTGTCGAGTGCCCAGATCTAGGACACTCGGCAAAGGACAAAATCCTACTTAATTCCCCTGCTCCTCCCCCTTATTAATTCTCCATGCAGCGCCCCTCCCATCCCTCCCTTCTTCCCCCACGGCGGCCCGCCCCTCCCCTTCTTCTTCCCGGCTGGAGCCCCCCCCCCCCCTTCTTCTTCCCGGTGGCGCCCTCCTCCTTCTTCCTTGGCGCCCCTCCCTCCCCTTCTTCTTCTCACCGGCGCCCTCCCCCCCTTCTTCTTCACCCGGCTGGCTTCTGCCTCCCTCTCCTCGATCCGCCCAGTGGCACTGGATCTGGCGGCGGGCCCTCCTCCCTTCTTCTCCCGGTCGGATCCGGCCTCCCTCTCCCGGATCCGCCGGGCGGCCGGATCTGGCAAGCGGGTGGCGTGGTGGTGGTGGCAGGCAGGCGTGGTGGTGGTGGTGGTGGTGGTGGTGGTGGTGGCATGGTGGCGGTGGTGGTGTGGTGGTGGTGGGCGGGGGGGGGGTGGTGGTGGCGGCGGCGGCTTTGGTGGTGGTGGCCGATAGCTGTGGTGGTGGTGGCGGCGGCGGCGGCATGGTGGTGCCGCCGGCGACTTTTTTAGAAAAATGTTTGCCGAGTGTTTTTGGGACTCGGCGTGTAGTCTTCTGTTGAGTGCTCGACGATTGACACTCGGCAAACAGCTCTTTTGCCGTCAAAACCTTTTTTGCCGAAAGTGTCGTTTGTCGAGTGTAACACTCGCAAACGCTTTGCCGAAAGTGTTTTTAGATTTGCCGAGTGCCCTCGGCTTTTCGGCAAGCTCCTGATATCTGAGTTTTCAAAACATGTAATGCAATCTCATTTAATTGGTTTAGTACTGATTACTATCTATTTCTCTACCAAATAAATCTCATTCAACCCATTGTAGTTGTGTTCAACGGATATGGGTGTTGCAGTCAGTTCGTTGCCCTTTTAAATTGTATTTAATATTACCTGAAAGTACAGTTACCCTTGCTAATTGTTGATAGTAAAAGATAGCCAAGGATGGAAATGGTAATTGACTTAAATATTTAACTGCTTAATATATATACTAGGAAACAGAATGACTAATATTGTAGAATAATGTCTCCACAATGCTAAATCAACCATTGCTAGCCAGGGCAGATGGAAACATTATATATATTTTGGCATAGAGAATACATGCATCAATGTAAATCTTACATCTTACTGACACAGAATATACTTCAATGTGCCTGGTATCTGACCTAATAGTTTCATTGTCAATAGAGGGACATTAAAATGAAATGGGACAATCCTTTCATACCTCGATCTCAATTCACGTTAGCTATAGGTGACCTGCCAGTAAATTTACAATTGAATGTAAAATGTGTGTGCACCTCCATCTTGTCTAGGATATTTCACTTGTCCTCCATGAACATTAACCTACAAAGTAATTCGGCCACCAAAATTTTGAAAAAGATGGCCACTCAATTTTCTTGAGGGATAACTGGATCATGGGGCAGGAGACATCAATGTCTCTGAGATAGAAACAACAAACATATATATTACGAATCTAACATTGGGCCGAACAATAAGGATGGGCTCTTTCAAGTAGTTATCCATTGTTGTAAACTTAATTATGTTTCAAATCACTAGCTGTGAATCACCAATAGAATTACTTTAATATATCGCCATTGTCATATAGTAATCAATAGCGTGGGACTAGACTACAGGTGAAAATGTGTCACTCTAGATGTTAGCCAGACAATCATTTCACTCCTGTATACTAACTAAGAGATAGTTTCTTTAGATAATGGATAACGTCCAGTTTTATCCCTTGCAAATGAAGGGAATCAGACCAATTATTACAAACATTTGACATAACAGAAACCAGTTTCAACATACAACTCAATCCAGACATTAAAAGATCATCTTTAAGGAAGCAAAGAATTGCAAAGCCACTGATCCTAATAACGTTTGACACACTTGCATGGACGATGCCTCTTTGTTTTCTTCAAACTGTTACAGTTGACACACCTGCAAATAAGATTTTGATTGGCATCTGCCAAAAATTCTTGTAAGGCGTACTGTAAATGGCACATCACTCCTCCTGTTAACGAAAGAGGCTTGTTCATTCTCCCCTACCCCCGTGTTTGTACCATCCAATGCAAAGGCCAGTAACTTTAATAGGTGGTCTCAAACCTAAAACTAGGTATACTGCTTGCTAGAAAATTTTGTGGTACATGCAGTCAAAGAATAGATGATGAATTGTTTCCTACCTACAGCAACAAAAGCACAAAAATAGTTCATGTTCCAATTTCTTTTTGCTAGGCTGTATTTGATTAAAATGACAACCCTCTTTAGTTACCATAGGAAAATTTTAATTGTTAAAGGGAACCTAAGATGCCAAACGACCTGTGATATCTTACTGAGATATGTATAGGTGCCACACACTGTGTTGCTACTCTTGTTGCAGATAATAGACAGTAATAATATGTGACCTTGATTTTGCAAATAATTAGGAATATTCCTTGTCATCATCACATTGTATGTGGAATGATAAATCAAAGTTTTTGTAGCTTTATCTACTTATCATATTTAAGAATCTCTTGTTACACCATGAGAAAGTATGCGAAAAGTAAGAAAATGAATAAATTCTGTAGAACAGTGCAATAAAAATTCAGACTTATTCAGGAAAATAATTCAAAATTGAGTGATCAAGATAAGTTGAGCAAAATGAGTCAAGAAAGCTGCTAATTTCCCACCTCATACAAGTTAAACAACTATTGTAGTGTTATAGTTCCCCATTTAACCATGGAAAAAAAAAGAAATTGCTTATATGAGTGTGACTGCCTATACAATCCATGTAAATAACAATGTTGTGTAAATATGGATTCATTCGCACGATCACATGTAGGCATGCTTACATTTTAACTTTTTTCTCTATTCAAGGCAGAGAGAAAAAAACTCATCAACTTGTATTAATCATGCACGATATGTCTGACAGTATGTATATATGTATATATCACATTTTATCACCAGGCACATGTCCAGTAGATTGCCAATATCTAAATGATTTTTTTACTATTTGCAGAATATTTTCAACTTCTTGCTCGACATCGGCATGAATCCGGTGTTGTCAAGTAGCCTGCTGATGGCATCTCAATCAGCCCTCAGCAACAACACCGATGATATCATAAACAGGGTTTTCAAGCCATTCCTCAGGATTATCCCCAAGAAAGTCTTGTAAGTGTCCCTTTGTACACTGACGGCTTCCCCCTTTTTTTTGTCCATGCTGATCTCCTTGAGCCGATTTCATTGCAGATGGGAGGAGGCAACTCTTCAGGTATATGAAGAGCTAAAAAACGACTTTATGAAACCAGCGGTCAGAGAGGTTGATGAACTGCTTGCCCTAGGGGTGAGTGTGACTGTGTACAATGGACAGGTTAGTACCAAAGACTACTCGTTACACCTCAGCATTTTTGGAACAGGAATTATTATATAGGACTAGTCATTGACCAATGGATATTGACATACACATCTCTACAGTATAATCAACTGGAACTTTCTCTCACTTTGTTACTGTTTTTGGTCTATTTCTCCTCTCTACACTACATAAATATATGGTTTTTCATAAAATATGTTGTTGCAGGCCGGAAAACATTTATAAGGAAAAATTCAAGTATTTTTATGCTAATATTTTGCAAACAATTAAACCTATCTCTACAGCTCATATTATTGTACTAGCAAACAATTCAACCATCCTCCACTTGCTTTATGGTCTTGTACTCAGTAAAGAGCCCCTCGAGCTTTCATCATGAATAATGGGACAACATCTTCACTTAGTTTCACGACTTCTTGACCCTTTTCGGCACACTGGTTATAGGGTGACATTTATTTTGGAACTAGGAACTAGAGCCATGGAGGAGTCAGCCATTGTTTTGGGCGCTTCTATTGCCTTTAGTCTTATGGTTGTGCCTTAGTCCGTGGGATGGTTGTGTGGGCCCTATGTGTACCATCAGGTTTATCATTCTTGTGGTTTCCATAAGGGTGTCTGGTGGGGGTTCGCTCAACTGTCGTTGTTAAAGAGGTATTATTTGACCTCCGAGGGTGTTCTACATCCTAATGGGTCTAAATATGTCCTCCATATGTATCAATAGGTGCTTCACATACTGCTGGGGCTACAGGAGACTAGGTTCTCCCTAAGCACCGCATAATTAGTGGTGATCAATAGGTGCTTTTGTCACCTAATTGCACATGTAGAGTGCATCATAATGTATTGAGGGCATTTATATATTGAGAGCTCTTCCTAACATCATGGATCAAGTTCCTTGGTGTCCCCATCTCCATCTTGACAGCCAAGTAGTAATAGAACCCCATGAATGTCAAATAAAGCTACTACCAGTGTGAGGGTAACTGCATGATGAGTTTATACCGCTCTTGAGATCCTCCCATCAAAAATATATGGGCTTATAAGTACATCCCTATGCCAAACAACCTTCTATTGTTGTGTTGCTTAGTCTATATTACCATCAACTAGAGCCGTACGAGTGGCCAGCAGGAGTCACTGTTATGGGACTCTTTTACACGGGTTGCATCATGCATTCATGGAACCAAGGCAACTTCTTGGCTGGCCTCCTAGTTTGGGGGTCCCTCTATTCCAGTGAGCTATATCACGTTTTAATTTAGTTACCCGGCATACTTACAAAACTTACTATCATAATTGGTAGTCGGTCCAATCCCCACATTGTGTGGTTATTAGCTTTCAGCGTCCATATAATAAGGAGCCACACATCACAGTTGTGAAATGAACAAACAGTTGGTTATGCTCACCTTGAGCACATTATTCAAAATTATGTAAGATGGGACTTTTAATATGATGGTTCACCTTGGCGCGACGGATTTTGTTTATGCTTCTTTTCTTTGGGTTGTATGTCTTATGGACCTATTTGAATGGGAGAGTTTGATTTTTGTTTCTTTTCATGTGTTTTGTCACAGAACCATAATTATGTCTTATATGTGGACTCATCTAGATTTTTTTTCTCTAAGGCAGGCTATCATGCATGGAACCCAGCAGATATTTTTTCTTCTTTCTTAGCAAAAAGGAATGAAATATGTTTTCTTTTCAGATTGACCCAAACATTTCTTTAAATTGTGAGTAATAATTTTTTACAGATAGATGGATTGGAATGTTACATGTTTATTCATTTATATCTTTAACATAGAATCATATACTATCAACTAATTATAATTCAGTATATATATTCTGATGAATAAAATCTCTTTTCTTTGAAGTACGATGTGATCGTCCCAGCTATTGGAACAGAAGCATGGGTCAAGAAGCTCGAGTAAGCAACCCTCCCCTACCATTTAATTAACCATAATTGCAAATTTCTGTTGTGTGTGTCTCAAGATCCCTAACTTAATTTGTGTTTCAGATGGAATGGCCTTAACCATTTCCTGAGCCTTCCAAGGCACCCATTACATTACTGCAATTCAATTCCCGAGCATTGTTCTCAGCAGATCCGAGCTTATGTAAGGGCTTATGAAAAATTTACCTTCTATTGGATCCTTGGAGCTGGTCATATGGTAATTCGATCTCTATCCTTATATATTGTAACTACATGATATATATCAGATTTCATTTGATGGCCAAAGCCAAAGTGCTTACTAAATATGTGGTGCTTTGTTAACAGGTCCCGGTTGACCAACCTTATCCTGCTTTGAGAATGATTGCCAATATCACGCAATCTCCGGGCAACATAGATGACGTGACTTGCTACTAATCTAGTGTAGAAAGCATCGGTCACGAACAGGGTACTAGATTGATGCTGTGAGGCTCTCAGCTGTGCTAGGTCCATGTAATTTAATAATTATCAAACTGTTTGATTTTCTTCCTACCTGTCTAGTATGTGCATTGCTACTCAAAAATTCTCTATTAGATGAATGCTAAACTGACCAATTGTTTGGATAGCCGTGCCTCAAGCATGCAAAATGAGTTGGTGAATTGTGCACCCAGCTCCAACCATGTGGGTTGTCAATTCATCGAATCACCTCCAAGATTATTTATTTCCTCTTTGCTTTACCTTGTTTAATTGTTGCCCATTTCAAAATTGATGATACCAGCTCCCACTGGAAAGTCTGGAACAAAAACAGCCGAACCATTATCACCAATGGTGATACAGACAGATAGGACCCAGGCAGATAGGTCCCTGCCATGCAAACAAACTAACCAAGACCACTGATAGTGATAGCCAGATAGGAGGTCGTTCTGCCATTATCTTTTGTAGTATGGTTTTGTTTGCTAAGCTGGTTTTGCCAGCATTGGCTACATGCCTATCAAGACTATGTTTGTTTTAAACAAAATAAATCCCAATTTTGCGTGATCCCCACACTGTCAATGTTTGTTTCCTGCCGTCGAGAACACCCTAGGTGAGCTCACCGATCCCTCCTTTTTTCTCCCCGTGTTTTCCCTGCGGAGTTCCGTAGGCCTTTTCCCACGTTCGCCGGCAAGCTCCCGCTCGCTATCCATCTCCTATCAATTCTGTTCTTTTGCTTTTATTTACTGCATGCATTTGTTTCCTTAACGTAATGATATAATATAATATAAAATAATGATCTTTTGAAGGAAGCAAAGAAGCGTTCTTTTATTTTTCTTCCTTAACTAGAAGTTGGTTTTTCTTTTGGCCGAGTAGTTTCCTTTGCTCGGATCATCGATCTTTCTCTATCTAATTTGTAAGTCGTGCACATCAAGGACTCCATGTCAATCTCCATCATGACGCTTGCCATATGACCATCTGTTGTCTATATATACACAGCAAGCCTGGGCTATCGTTTCTTTTCTAAACTCTATAACTAAGCCATGATCCATGCCGCCGCCAGAGCCAATCTTTTCCAGCATCAAGGTTGATCCAAATGTGCCCCAGTTTGTTAGTGCGCTGCCGCCGGCTGTAACACCCCAGTGTTAAGCATTGCATTGGCACTTGCATTTCATAAGCACAAGCATCATCCAAGCATTCATGAACATGAGCATATGAAATTTCATCTCATTCTTATAGCTTATCACATGAAATGTTGATTTTATATATATGCTTATGCTTGTAATCATATGTGACCAATGTATGAAATGGTTGTGAGGTCATGAAAACACCTTAGACACATCTAGAATGGTGTGAATGGAACAACTTTTGTATTCATGGCATAGACCAAATTTGCTTCTAAGTGTTGGTTTCATTTGAAATGCCATTTTCATAATACTAGTTTGATTAAAGTTGAACAATAGCTTAAATTATTTGCATGGCTATGTGACCTAAATAAAAGTTGTAGTTCTTGTCATGGGTAACAAACTTTATTTAAGGGTCATGAGCTAAATCAGTATCTAACATGGTCAAATAGAGCTCACAAGTATCAACAAAATGCTGTTTTTAAAACTAGAAATTTCGCTGTCTTTAACTGAGTTTCAGTTTCAATGCAGCCCACTTTGGAGCAATGTAGTTTGAAAAACCAATTTGAATTAGACCAGGATCATTAAAGCAAAGTTGTAGTACTCACATAGCTCTACAATTTCTATTAAAGAAGTTTTTGCTAACGAGAACTGGATTAGGAGATATAGAGACACGAAGTAGCGCTATTAGCCAACTGGATCAGCACTTAGCCGGTTCAAATCACCGCGCGTCGTGGCCGACCGACGCAGGCCGTGCGCGCCGCATGGTGGCTGTTCGCCGGCGCCAACCCGCCCTGCAGTGCCAAAAGGGAGAGCACCCAGCTCTGCACACACCTACGCGCTCACTCTCACTCTCGCCTCCTCCCTCGCCCGCGTGTTGCTCCAGAGCGGAGCAACACAGCAGCAGCATCGCCGTCGTGCCTTCGCCAGCAGCGCTCGTCGTCCACGTAGCCCCGTTGCTCAATCCATCACACCCACAGCTCCACGGTGCCTTGCTCCACCTCGCCGACCCGCCATTGCCAACTCCCGTGCCGAGGTGAGGGCCATCGGGCCGCTACATCACTGCGACCACCATTGCCGCCGCTGAGCTCGAGCTCGCTCATCGCTGGCCCCAACCAATGCCTCTCAGACCTCTCTCTCTCTCTCTCGATTCATCTTCGTTGTAGACCCTAGAACCTAAAGCCATAGCTCCTTGAGCCACTACCGCGTCGTCGATGCCGGAACACGAGCCGCACCGCCGTGAGCCGAGAGCGCCACCGCCATGCACGCCAACATGGCCACGCTTGTCCCGTCGTCGTTCTCTCTCGCATTTAGGTGTTAGGGTTTAGCCTTAGGACGGTGAAGCTCGCGTGGAAGACGGATGCACGCTTGTGTCACCTTTCCTGCCAGAACATCATAGTACCACCGCCGTGCTCGCACCGCCATGCCGCTATGCACGTGGCCAAGCTTCGCCGCCGCTCCACCTTGACCTAATCCACGCCATAGAGCTTCGCGAGGGTTTGTAGATGTTGTAGCAGCACTCGCCTGGCCATGCTGTCGCCGGGGATGGCCGGAGCACCACTTCGCACCGCCGCAGAGCCACCATGCTCGCCGGCAAGGTCCCTCTGGTGATCCTCCGAGCAAACCGAGGGTACCTGTAGGTGCAGAATAGGATGGGGAACACGTTGGTGCCGACCTCGTCACTGGTGACCTCGCTGCCGGCGAGCTTTTCGCCGGTCAAGCCGGTGCTCTGCTCTGTCTCTCTGTCGCGTGAGGCCGAGTTGACCACGGGGCCCAGTCATCAGGCACAGCGGGGTGTATACACCGGGTGCACCTAGCTGTAGCACCCGATTTAAAATTTGATTTTCTTTATTAATTTTTTGATAGATTTAGTTACAAACTTCAAATATTCATATCTAGAGCTAAGAGTATTCAAATGGGGTGAACCAAATTTTAGTAGATTCATCATGAAGTGTAATATTTGATAAAAATATTAAATCTAATATTTAGGGTATTTTCTAGAAAAATTAAATTGAGCAAGATAAGTGCTTTTAAAATAGTTTCTAGCTTGTAAATTGCATAACTTGAGCTAGGAAGGTGATAAAATTGTGATTCCAATTTTGCTTATCTTGTGTTGACATGCTCTAGCTAGAAAAATATTATACCTATAGTGAGCATACTTGAAATATGATCTTCCTATTTAATCTTAATTAATTGCTAGTTTCTAATAAAATTTATTGGGATAAAAATACATAACATATGATCATGCAAATTTTTACATAGTATTCTCATGCGATGAGGAAAGTAAGAAAAATATTAAATCTGTTGCTCGACTCTTTTCACTATGCTAAACTATTTTTGTTAAAATAAGCATATGTAACTTGTCATTTTAGTAGGCATGGCTATACTTATCCAAATGGCATGAAATTTATATAGTAGACTATTAGAGTCATGTGTAGACTACTGTAATTGTTTCGGAATTTATTGAGCAATAGAAATATTTACTCCGTAAATCACCCTATTATCTAAGGAAATTAATAAATGAATATAAATAAATTAGTTAGGCTTAACCATGATGTTTTATGTGGTGTGTGTGATACATATAATATGTTTATACTCTTAGTGAGGCTTATAAGTATTTGTTTATAGGCAACTAGCTCATTATTGCTTTATAATTCAACTAGATTACTGCATGTGTAGTTTCTGTTGTGGTGATGATTTCATGATGATAATGATCTTTTCTGTAAATATGGTTAATAACAAAGTTGTAGATAACTTACTTCTATACCTTGTATTAAATGTTTAGAGTCATAGGACTTATGGTTTAGGAATTATAGCTGTTAGAAATTTGCTGTTAGAAATGCTTGCTCTTTGGATAGATCTGAAAGATTAAATTGTTTGACCTAGATAACTACTGAATCACATTATGATGATTAAAATAAAGTTGTATAAAATTTTATAAGCTTTCCAGAATGTCTACAACCATATTATTTAGATGTGTATAACTCAAGTTATGGTCAAAACAAGTGGTTGTTGTCTTGTAGTCCAGAAAAATTGCTTAGATGAGAATTTATTTAGTTACTAGAGAAGAGATACGCACCTACTCAGTAAAATGAGATGTAACTTGTTATCACCTTAATACAATGCTGTTGAAAACACATATGAGAATGCATTTCATCATACTCCACCATATCATACATGTCGTTATATATGCATCCACGTTATCTTATTCCATGATCATACATATAGGACGTCCGAGTGGATAACTCTTTTGGAGTTCAACGAAGAAGAAGAGGCGGAACATCAGGAGACACCTCAGGCCATAGCTCCAGAAGGAGAGGAGCAAACTCTTGAGGACCTCTGTGAGTGCTCGGATCACAGGCCAACCTCTTTCCTCAAAGGCAAGCTCCGGAGCATTCTAAGTCTCCTATGTTTTACAAAACTTTACTTGAGTCCTTCTATGTTTGATGCATTAGGTGATAAGAGTTGTATTGAAACCACTTGATGCATAGAACTACCTTGTCCAGATATATATACACCTTTAACCCTGTGTACGTCTAGGATCGAATACATGCTTAGCCATGCTTAGACCCATAGAAGTCGGGTGATTTCCTGTCACCTGCGAGATATAGGTGGATACCGAAGCACGATTGACTATATTTGCTATCGTGAAAAAGAACCATGGGATAATGTAAATAGAGGCCGGGCGGAGTCTATGGGTAGGTTGACTCATGTGAATCCGTCTGTGCCGATTAAGGACCGTACCGTTGTTGGGCGCTTCTGACAAGATTGATCGCATGCCTCTCATTTAGCCGGCCGGATAAGTCATTCTGACCATGAAGCTGAGTAGCTCAACTCAGGTCGGGCCTCGTTCTGTAAAAGTGCGCACTCTGGATGGTAGTAAGGATCTGCGGGGAGCCAGACGTGAGCCTAAGGGCAGGATAGTTCTGATCGTCCTGGTAGCTGGTTGTCCCTGATTGTGCGGCGCTGATCGAACTCGCGAAATGTGGACCTGAGTTGTACCAAAGTTGACCTTAGGCTACCATGGCTAGTAGACCTGGGTTTGTGTTAGGAATAAATTCCCAGCTGGTTGAAATCGATTCGAATCGCCGTCTCTCCCGGACAGTGAGAAACTTAGCTAGTACCAACATCGTAGTAACTGTATTATAGAATGATGGATGAACAGGGAATTATTATACCGGCTATGGTTACTATTGTTATGCTACTAAATGATATACCACATGTTTGGCACATGTTAGTTGCTAATCTCGAGATGAATAGCTATAATTAACTTGATGACCGAATTATAAATGGATTCACCAACAGCCTCATTTATACACAGGGCTCAAGTCCCCCTTTTATAGTACACTGTTAGCCATCTTCCTAGTTTACACATCTGCCCCTTGATAGCTAGAGCACATTCCAGGAATATCCCCTTGCTAGCACAAACTACTAGGGGGGATCCAGGTATTTTCATCTTGAACCGCCTCCGCTTCTTGGGCCACGCCTACGGGCTTTGCAGGCAGCCCACGGCCCAGCGTCGTATTCCCTTGTTTCGTCAAAATGTAACACGGACAGTTCAAAAATCTTACAAGTATAGTATGTACGTTTTGCAAGAAGTCCACTTGGTGAATCACAAGCAAGCACACAACATAATACTAATCTGTGCTCATCAAAATGTAATATGGTTAGATAAAAAAACTTACAATTATAGTATCGACGTTTTGCAAGAAGTCCACTTGGTGAGTCACAAGCAACATTGTCTTATTCTTGAGTATGCCCTTCAGACATTCCTGCAAACACAAAGGCTAGTTTTAGAGTACAGCTTAGGAACCATAATAAAACACTGGCCATATTGGACTTGTTTGGAAGAACTTTTCTTTGTAATAACTAATAGCAAAAGTAACAAAAAAAATAGCATTGGGAAATTAAGTAGGTCATGAGTCCACCTGATTGTGAACAGATTCAATACCATCATGGTTCTGCATAAATTATGAATGCTAGAACTATACAGAATATCATGCAAGGTTCTTTTTTAATCTACAATGCTCATCAATCCTCTGCCAGTTTCTCTAATAAAATCTCATATAGGGCAGATCTGTAATCTGCATGGTCTGGAAAGTCGGTGCACATTTATTTTATACAGAAAAACAGAGTAAAGGAATGCAGGTCACTGAGCAATTGAGCATTTCCCTATGACGGTTGTGATGTATCACATATGAGGCATGGTGAATATTTACGACACTACGAACGTGAAGGTTTTTTTCTCAAACTCAGCAACCAAAGACATTGAAAGACCAAATGCAAGCAGAAACAGAGAGCTTATTGATAGATACTGTATCAGCACAATTCTTATTCAAGGGCCAAATTTATCATTTTCTGCAACTTTATGATGACATGTGTGTTTTGGTATCTGATGTTGAAATAGAACTCTGAATTTCATAATGTTGGTATAAATCTAGCTAATGTGGTTTGTTGCAAGCATGGAGTGTCCACAAGTTTGCCAAACATATTTACCAAGCACAGTTGCAACACTCACTAGTTTCAAATTTAAATAACTGAATAAATTTAACATCAAAATGAACCGAAAGAGGTATTCACCATTAAAATAGCTGATCCAGTATGAGCATCAACTGCGCTAAATATGTCATCAAGAAGATATATATCACAGTCTTGATAAACAGCTCTTGCAAGCTGGATGCGCTGTTTCTGGCCTCCACTGAGATTGATCCCTCGCTCCCCTATTTCAGTCTGGTCGCCAAACTCCATCATTTCCGAATCCTTTTCTAGGCAGCAAGCATTTATGATTTCTGAATCTCTCTCCGGATGCATTGGCTTTCCAAATAAAATGTTCTCTTGAATGGTTCCATTTCGGATCCAAGAGGTCTGAGAAACATATGCTGTGCTTCCACATATGCTAACCTATATCAAAGAGAAAAATAGAGATGAGAACGAAGTAAAATGATCCGAAAAAACATATACCAATGAAGACAGGAATCCAGACACTAGACTAGACTGGGACCAAAAAACATAAACCAGAAGCAACGAAAAAGACAGTGCGTAAAACTAGACTGGGACCAAAATATATACCAATGAAGTCAGGAATCCAGACACTCACCGTGCCGGAGAGCTTGTGCATCTCCCCCATGATGCAGGAAAGCAGCGATGACTTGCCCCGGAGCCCACTGTCCCGACCATCGCCGTAATCTCACTCCTCACCTCCACGTCAATGCCCCTCAGCACTGTCACCAACTCCGCCCCATTTCCTTGGCCATTCTGTGCCACATCATGGCGGGCAAGGTTTTTTTTATCGGCCGAAATTCACGGAAATTTTCGAAATTTCCTTTCTATCCACAGGGTCCGATAAATTTTGACATCGGCCAAATTTTTCCCTTCTTTCTTGCTTCCACACAGACAACCCAAATTCAGCCGTGCGACAATCCCATACTATAATGTTTTATTCTTGTTTTTATATATGAACAAGTTATGTTTAATAGCTTAGGAATAGTTTCAAGTCAAATTCTACGGAATTTTTTCAAAACAATTTGAATTTTTTTGAATTTGGTCCGATATTTCCGATATATCCTGCTTATCCTATTTATCCATGACCTCCGATAAATTTTTATTTTCGATAATGAAAACCTTGATGGCGGGGCCTCCTGTTGTTGTTGCCCTTCATCTCCTCGTCCGCTGGCACATCCCAAGCGAACACCCCGCCTTGCACCTTGACGGCCACCGTGTCCCCAGAGCCGCCACTCTCGATGTGGTCCACGGCCGCAGTGTCGATCTCGGCGTCCGTCAGGAATTTGTTCAGCCTATCCAGCGACACAAACGCCTGCATGGACATGACAATCGTCTGCAGGAAGTTCTGCATGGGGCCTTCCAGCATGCCGAAGAACGCCGTGGCCGTGAACACCTTGCCGGCGTCGAGCTGCCCGCCGGAGGCGATGTAGATCCCGAACACGAGCACCGTCATGGCGAGCGGACCGCTCGAGAACACCACCGTGTTGGCGCACATGAAGAGCATGATCTTGGCCAGCCACCCGAGCTCTTCCCGCCGGATGTCGCGAACCTTGCCGCCGAAGGTGTCCTCCCACGCCTGCAGCTTGATGACACGAATGTTACTGAGCATCTCGGTGATGCCTTCACGCGGCTGTCGCGGACGCCAAGGAACTTGACCTGATACGCCAGGTTGAGCTTGTTCGCGAAGGCGGTGACCAGGGTCACTGCGGTGATCACGGCGAGCGTCATGAGCACGGCGGGGCCGAGGTAGGAGTACAGGAGGAGCAACGCCACCACTATCTGCAGCGGCATCAGCCACAGCCCGTGGAGTCCGTGCATGGCGAAGGACACGATCCCAGCGTCGACCTGCATGTAGTTGACGATGGCGCCCGCGCCGTGCGCTCGGCGGGCACTGGCGGTGAGGCGCAGCGACTTGCGGTACAATGCCGTCTGCAGCGCGCCGCGGATGCGCATGCCCAGAAGCTGTCCCTGGAAGCTGTAATGGTGGGATGCCAGCGTCTGGACGGCCTTGCCGGAGAGCAGGATGAGAACGAGCCGGAGGCCCTCCCACGGTGTCCCACCGCGGCGGATGAACTCGACGAACCTGTCGATGAGCGACGGGCCGACGTACATGGCCCCCAGGCGCGCGAGGCCATGAAACGCAGTCAGCACGAGCTGGGGCCAGAAAGATAGCCAGAGTGACACGCCAACCGGGTGCCGAGACCCCGGCGACGCCGGCCAATTGGACATGAACAGGGTGTACGCCGCCTCGGCGCGGTGGCCGGCAGAGACCGGGGGCACGTCTTCGGTTTTGAGGGAATCAGCTGCGTAGCCCTTGTTGATGAGGGAGTTGATCCAGCTGAAGGTCGCGCGCGACAGGAACGAAGCCGCGGCGTACGGCGAGGAGGGAGGATCCTCCGTGCCGGTGTGCTCTGCTTCACCTTCTTGTGCACCGCTGCCATGGCCGGTGAAGCCAGTGACCGCTGTGTATGCCAGAGGCAGCGAGACGAGCAGACCAGCGAAGGCGAGAATGTCATCGTGGAAGACAGCGAGTGGTGCGCGCCGCGAACCACCGCCGAGGCAGAGAAGAGCGCGGCGCCGAGGGCGGTGGCGAGCCAAAACACGCGGAGGAGGTGCGCCTCAGGGGCAGCAGCTGCTGCTCTCCGCGAAGAGGCGACGACGGTCCATGCAGCCACGCCGTGCGCGATGGCGAGGAAGGTTCCCTCCGCGGTGCGCTAGGGCGTGCTCGGCAGGATGAGTAGCGCGAGCACGAGGACGACGGACGCCGCCGCGAAGACCACGGAGGACCCGAGCGTGTGCACGTGGCAGCGGGAGAGCGGCGGCGAAGGAGGATGGCTCGGCTTCTGCAGCAGCGGCACGCGTTCGGGAGAGGGGGGCAGCCGCGGGCCCCGGGTGTCCCTGTCCCCTGCGAAGGCAGCGTCGGGCGAGGTGGACGAGGCAGGCGACGAGGAACACGAGGTCGACGGCGGCGAGGAGCAAGCGCTGCGGGCACGGGGAGAGGAAGAGGAACACGAGCGCGTCAGTGAAGGAGCCGGGGCCGGGTGGCGGCGAGGCGCACGCCGTGGTGGCGAGCCACCATGGGAGCGCCATCCCGTGTGCCTGCGGCGTTGGCTGCAGAATGCGAGTCCGAGGAGCTCGTTGTTGTTGGGGATCTGTTCCATCAATACTATAATAAACATTTGTAGGGGCGGCTGGCGATGGTTTATAGAGGCGGCTTGGTCAGTCGCCTCTACCATACCGTCTCTACAAATCATACATTTGTAGGGGCGGTTCCAGATTGTCCATACAAATCGATTGGTTGAGGCGGCTATAAAATCGATTTGTAGGGGCGTCCGTAGTACCAGTCGCCCCTATAATACCTGCTTGTAGGGGCGGTACTGTACATTTTTTCGAAAAAAAAATTCAAATTTACAATTCAAATTCGACCAAAACATATATATATGCATATATAATTCAAATCTAACTAGAACATATATAATTCAAATCTGACCACAAGCACAAGAGCATTATATAAACTACCATTGCAAGTCTAATTCACTAGAATATATACAATCCATCATTAAATAGACATAATTCACAAGTCTAATTCGTTTCACAAGTCCAAACCGTTCCACAAGGTAAGGCTAATGTTAAATTCTATACACATTGTTATCAACGACCTAGAGCTAGCCTTTCAGTCTCACGAAGGTGTTGGTACTGAGGATTTCTACCTAAGTCAGAATCTCGGTCCTGGTAGATGCCTTTGATGTGTACAATCTGGTCCAATATGAAGTAGCAAAGGTCGCCGATAAGCTCTAAGAGTTGGTCATCCTTGTATGGGTCTCTTTTCATTTCTTTCTCTTCTTTCCACTACAAGAGAAGTTTTGGTTTAGTATTTCATATCATGTGTGAAGTTTTTATACTATAGGTGAAGAGGTTCAAACTTACCCTTAAGGGGTGTCTCCTATAGGCACTGGTGTTACTCATCATAGAACATACATAATATCCACAATGTACACTCCCAGTCTTTTGGTTGGGGCACTGTGTGTTTTGCATATGGAAATGTTAAGTAATATTTTTGACCGCCATGTAATGGAGTACTAAAGTAAGTTACACTTACTGTACATAGTGTTTTTATAGCCAGCATTTCCTTACTTACTGGATCATGCCTTCCGTGATGTTCATTGATATAGAACCTGAATGCCCTGTTTGAATTATTTTAGCAATTACAACTTGTTAGTATCCAAAAGTGAATGTTACAAGTATGTATACAAACATATAAGCTAATGAGGATTGTCGATATGTAGACATCTTGAGAATCGATATGAATTCATTGTATGTCAACAGGTCCCTATCTATTGAATCAAAGACCCATGCCATGCTCCTCCCGACATAGACGCCTATACAAATCCAGTGGTTGCTGCATAAATTTAATCATAGAACTAGATAAGCTCTTTTGCATCAAATAAAATATATCGAACAAAGCTTTAGGTATAGAATTGAACTTACTCGAAGTTGTATGGTAGTCATATAGTAGAGTGTTGTTGGAGATTTTTAAAAGCTAGGGCAATGTATGCCGAAACCTTAAGGGACTCTTACCTTAGTTTCTTCGCACGGATGTCCTCTTTCTCCCGAAGAGTCTTTCTAGCAGCTAGCTCTTTGACATCCAGTTTCTACTGTCTAGGGTAATTAAAATTTGTTTATGCTATAGCTTGAGGGTCTATATACCCAGCTTTCACACTTCGCATTTGTTTTACAATGTGCACTTGCATTCTACAAATCACGGCGTGGGTTAGTTACAACAAAATCCAAAGATTACATTCATATCATATCAGGAGGGCAAGGACTTACAGGCACCACGTGCAAATTAGATTCATTTTCGTTGCTCCGAGGTGAAAGCATGCCTGCATGTCATTGAAGTCAAAGATAATTTTTTCGGCTAGGCTTCCAAATGTGCCGACGGGGAAACATGCTTGTACGAGGTCTATGCTCGTTAGGAGAACATGCAAGTACCAATCATGGAACCTTCTCATTCCAAGTGGTAGAAACTGGTTGTCCCGGTTTGATAGGAAGGGCTTGCCTCTTTCATATGTTTTCGGGCAATCCTTTGACCATTTGATGGCATCAACATTTGGATACTTCTTTGCTATTTGGTCGAGTTTGCTAGTGACAGCCACCTCAGAAGCCCGTGATGGGACTTTTTTAACTTGGTTCTCAGGCTTGAACTGGTCATGGGAATACCACTTGTGCATCGACGAGACATCTTTCATTGGAACATAAATTGGTCTTATGTTGATTGGATGCTTCTTTTAAAGTTCCCATTCAGGCATGTCCTCATCTTCTTGTGCATCACCTTCTTCAGGAGGCACTCATTATTCATGTATCGGCTATGCTTGTTGAGAAGACTGTGGCATCTCATTATGCACTTGCTCGGTACAAGCTGGAGAAGGTTGTGGCTGATCAGGCACATGCTCGCTAGGAGGCAGGAAAGAATGTGGCATCTCAGGAATATGGTGGTCATGAGATGGTGAAAATATCTCCTCGTCCTCAACAACTCGCTCCAAATTTGGGAGAGGGAGAGGCAGTGAAGAAGCAGTCAATATAATGTCCCATTTGTGATAGAGGATGAACTGCCCCATTACGTCTCCGAGTAACACCAGCCCCTCGGGAGTTGCGTAGTCTATCTTCCACTATATGAACTCAGGCTTCACGGTATGCACCTCGACCCTAGTGTAGTCCAGAGGTATCTTATTATTGTGGTGTAAGCCATCGGGAGGATGTGCCACACCCGTTGCCACCTCCATCACAATATTCTGCAGTTCGCTGAGAAACACCAGCGTGCAACTAGTTGGTTCCCATATGTGATCGATGGGGGTTGTGGCTGCAGTGGAACCTTAGCTGCTAGGAACTTTCAGAGGGCTACCAACTAATGCCAGTTCTCCCGGCGGTGTCATTAATGTCCGTGGGTCCATAGACAGTCCTTGCTCCTCTAGCGCCTTCGCAACTAGAGCCTTTATTTGGAGCTCACGATTAGTCTCCTGGTCTCTGCCATGTTTCTTGTATATGTGCCTATCCTCTTTGAATCCGTGCTTCCAGATCATCCTTTCCCTAGCCCCCTGGTGCGGCCTGTGTGCTCCTTGTTTCCCAAGACAAGGCTAAGCTTGTCCCTCTCTCTAGAAGGATTGAATGAGCCCTTGTCCTTGTCTTTAGCATATTTCAGTATCCTTGATACCGCCTCTTGGGTCTCCGGCTTGTCAAACATAAGATTACCGCCGGATGATTCTGCAGTCCTCGCATATATCAAATTCCTTGAGCGTACCTTCAAATTCTTCACATCGATATTCCCAGTAGCTACGACCTCTTCATCCATCTTCCTAAACTGCTCTTCCTTGGCATAGTAGCCACCGGTGCCTAGATGATGGTGGTGTTTGTTCCTCTTTGCCAGCTCGGTGTTACGGGCACTGAACTCCAATGCCTCCGGTGAAGTCTTCGGAGCCACGAGCTCCTCCCATTGACTAGGAGTTATGTTGTCGAACTCGTTGAAAGGAGTTAACCCCTTTTGGATATACTTCTTGTTGAGCTTTGACCTCCAACATCAGAATGACTCTCCCATGATCCTGAAAGCATTTTTTTACCAGTTCATGCTTACCCTCCGGAAATCTAAAATTGAGCTTCAGCTGCTTATCCCATAGTTCATCCTTTTTCTTCTCTGGTACCTCTTTCCAGTTAGGGATTCCTAGGTTCAATTTATCTCTTACTAGGGCCCCGGTCGCATTACGGAATCATTCTCTGAATTCCTTCGGCTCAAGGATCTCCCCTGCTGGCCCGACCTCCATTATCACATAGCATGCCTTATCTGGATATTGATTTTCTTTTCTATCCCCTCATTTCCTCTTTGGCTTGGTAGTCATGGTTGTGTCTTGAGGTTGTGGAGCAGAGGCGTCAATGTCCATCTCTATGGCTGTTGCCTCTGCTCTCCTTTCCTCTACTCCGTCTTATCCAACGAGATGTTGCGGATGTCGACATTGTCTTTTCCGAGTTTTAGGAGGGACCTGTATATACAATAGGTCAAAGTGTTAGCAGAGGTAACACAACCAAAGGTTTAGCAAAATTTACAAGCTAAGGCTTTTTCCCTACCTCCTCGTTCAGATCAAAATCCTTGTCCAAATCTTCATCCATTGGCCTCCTTCTGGCTTCACGTGGGAAAGGATCCACGGGACTTACATATCCCACTTCTGAGTCCTCATCATCATCTTCTTCTTTGCCTTCAGTAGCCTCTCCTGCTCTTCCTTCTACTCCCTCTTCCTCCTCGTCACACTGCTCCTGAGTAAGCATCACTTCTAGATCCTTTTGTACCTAGAGATTAAAAAGAAAAATCACAACTATTCATGATGATCAATGATGAACAAGTGTGATTTCTCTTTTTAATCTGTGGCTAAAACTTGTAACTATTTTTTCTCCCTCATACTAACTCCAAATGTAATGATTTTTTCCTAAAATTTTCTAAAATCATGCTCTATCATTTTAGTCTGGTCATCTATCTTTGTCACTAATTTTGGACAATTCAAAATTTTCAATTTCAGAAAATTACAACTTCAAACATGATTTTCAACCATTAAATGATTTCAGCTATAAAAGTGATGAATACCAAAGTTGTATAACTCGTCAAGATCTCCAACTTATATTTTGGTCATCTTTTCATTTGACAAAATTTGAACAGTTCAAATTTTGAATTTCAATAAATGTCAACTTCAAATAAGATTTTGAAACCTTAAATGGTTTCAAATAAGAAAGTCATGAACATAGAAGTTATTGAACACATCACTATCTACAAATTTTATTTTGGTCATCTTTTCATTTGACCAAATTTGAATAGTTGAAATTTTGAATTTCAATAAATGTCAACTTCAAACAAGATTTTGAAACCTTAAATGATTTCATCTATAAATCTATAGTCTCACACACATACATAAATATATAGTCTCACACACATGCATAAATGAAGTCTTACAAATACACACACTGACACAAACACTCCACGTTCAACAACTAGCTAGCCCGCTGTAACGACTTTTCCCTTAACACCTTTTTGTTCCCATGGCAATATGTCT